AAAAAAAAAAAAAAATCCATCAAGCGGAGCCTGGGTGGCTCAATGAGTTAAGTGACTGACTTCGGTTCAGGTCATGATCTCAGGGTCCTGGGATCGAGCCCAGAAAAAGGCTCCCTGCTCAGCGAGAAGTTTGCTTGTCTCTCTCCCTCTGCCCCTCCCCACACTCATTCTCTCTCTCAAATAAATAAAATCTTTAAAATAAATAAAAAATAAAAATACATCAAAAGTCTCACTGGTTACTAAATCTGTCTTCTTTCTAAACAGAACAGTACATCACAAACCCACAACCACTTCTTGGTTAACACCAAGGCGTGTCAGGTGCAGGTAAACCATCCAAAGCTCCACCCACCGACGATCCCTCTAGATACCCAGGGACAAGGCAGGCAAGCCAGGAGACCGGGATTGTGGCCGAGAAGGGCAGTGGAACAAGGCCTCCCTGGTGTCAGACACGAAAGAGCGAGGAGCGCAGAACCGTGAGGGATAGTATGGGGGGAGGCCCAGGCAAATACAAGTATTTCCGTTAATGATGTTTCATATATGAATCCTTTAAAATGAGTAATCCACTGGCTTTAAATCAAATACAGCCTTTCATTAGGAAAAGATTGGGATTTCTTGGGACACATGATGGCAGGGACCAGAGATACAGGCTCGCAGTGTCCTGGCTGCCGCTGGGCCACAGACAAATTTTACGTAGCCCACCAAATATTTTAAAGGTTTTCAATTGGATGCCAATGTTTTGAAATCTGGAGATACTACATTTAAAGATTAAAGATTAAGACTTCTGATTTTTTTTTTATGGAAAAAAAACCCTATAGATCTGGCCACGCTGTGTCTACATTTCTGCACAGCAACAAAGCAGAAGGAACTGCAGAGAGGCTGTCCTTGCTCTCCAGTTCCCTCCCCATCACACAAGGCATGCACGTGACTAACACCCACCGCGACTACATTCATATGTGTAATATACCTAGGCCCGACGGCATCTGTGTGGGACACTAGACGTCCATGCTTTCAACAGCTAAAAGGACCTTGCCTGCCATCTGCATAAGCTTCCTTAGTAATAGTCATCCTTTCTTCCTAAAAGTCACCATAGCTATTTACATCCATTCTGCAGAAACAGAACGTATACATTTACTCTTCAGAATTTCGCTGTCTTACTTTTAACGATATCCTATACCAATGGATCAAAATCGCCTAGAAGGTTTGTTGAAACACAGATTGCTGGGCCCCACACCCCAGAGTGTCTGATTCAGTAGCCTGAGATAAGACTTGAGAATCTGCAATTCCAGCAAGTCCCTGCTAAGGCCTATGCTGCTAATGCAGAGACCACACCTTGAGAAACCTGCCATTCACTAACCCAATGCTTTGGATTTCAAAAACTTCTATGACAACTTTACACACATTTCTTGAGGATCTCTAGAGCACGATATCCGACAAAACTTCTGCAATAATGGATTCATTTTATATAAAATGCTGTCCAACATGGCAGCCACTAGCTACACATGGCCCCTGAGGGTATGTGACTTAAGAACTACATTTTACACTTTATTTAATTTTAATTAACTTAAATAGCCACATGTGGCTAGGAGCTACCATACTGGACGGTACAGCACTGAAGGCTCCTAAGGAGCCAACCAGAGAGGAGACAGGAGGAGGAAGACGACTTTTACATGAGTCTAAATAGCAAAGCCCAAGATTATGCACATAAGGTCTGATTTATTTTAATCAAAAAGCTCTTTTAGTATTTTCAATTGTGCCCAGAAGTATGTCCATGACATATTAATTTAATGTCCATGGCACATTAAAAGGAGGAAAAAAGTTTTTATAACATTAGTGAAACCACAGAGCCTCACCCATTTAGCAAGAAAAACAACAAACCATCAAGCTCATTCCTTTTTACCTTTTATTCTCCTGGGAATCACAGTCACCCAATCAGGTCCACTGGAGTTGATTGGCATTTTGATATTGATACCACTTTAGAAGGAATAGAAAGAGTACAAGCTTAGATTCAAGAACATTTATTTTCTAATATGTATCTTCATTTGCAAAAAAAAAAAACAGGTATGATGTCACAGAACCCTAAAATGAAATATCCTTATAAATGTTAATCAACACAATTAATTAATAAACTAGGTCTCTTATAATAAGGTTAAATAGATATATATAAAGCGAATAAAAATTAAATAGGTTTTTAATTTTTCACTGCTTAGAACTGAGAGTATAAGCTCCAAAATGACAAAGTCTGGGCTGAATTACTTAATCCCCTTGGACTCAGAAAATGGCTCCCACTGATGAGAATGTCACTATCTAATTTTCAAGCTACAAATCCATGTAGAATTAAGTCGCATGACAGATTCCTCAGGCCTTGCCCAGAACAGAGAGGAGTCCCTACTGAAGATATTCGTCCCCAGATATGGGCTCTTGTAGTACTTTGTTCATCATTACTATGGCTCTGGAGTGCCTCTTTCTAAAACACACACTCCTCAAAGACACAAATTGTGTCTCCCTCACCTTTTGTCTTCAGCACTTAGCACAGGCCCTGGACTAGAGTCCATGCTTGGAAAATATTTGATGGAGAGCTGTGTGAAAAAGTGGGGGAGAGTGGAGTCCAAGGGGAAAGTACTGAAAACTTGTTATAACTATTCCAGAAACTGGGTTACGATAATTACCTCCCACGCTTAGACAAAAAACAAACAAAATAAAATGCTAACTTTCCAAATTCTTTTTAATCTTATTTATTTGACAGAGAGAGAGAGCACAAGCAGGGGGAGCTGCAGGCAGAGGGAGACGGAGAAGCAGACTCCCCACTGAGCAGGGACCTGATGCGGGGCTCAATCCCAGGATCCTGAGATCACGACCTAAGCCAAAGGGCAGACGCCTAACCAACTGAGCCACCCAGGCTCCCTGGAATTAAAATTTTTTAAATAAAATAAATAATTTGGGGGGCACCTGGGTAGACCAGTCTTAGACCAGTTTTAGCTCAGGTCATGATCTCAGGGTCATGAGACTGAGCCCCAAGTCAAGCTCCCTGCTCAGCACGGAGCCTGCTTAAGATTCTCTCTCCCTCTCCCTCTGCCCCTCCTACCCAACATGGTCACTCTCTCTCTTCCCCTCTCGCTCAAATAAATAAATCTTAAAAAAAAAAATAGTAATAATTCTTAAGCTTCTACCATGTGCCTGGCACTGTCCTGGATGTCAGGGTCTAACAGTATACAAACACACAGCATCTCCTTCATGGAACTGACATTCTAATGGGGGAGAGAAATAAAAAAACAAAGTAGGAAGGCAGTACAGTTGATCCTCAAACAACATGGGTTTGAACTATGCAGGTCCATTTATGCATGGATTTTTTTCAATACAATACAGTACTGTAAATGTATTTTCTGTTCCTTATGATTTTTTCTCTAGCTTACTTTACAAATCAGTACCTAACATATGTAGCATACGAAATATGTGTTAATTAACTGTAAGGGTTCTGGTCAACAGCACGATATTAGTAGTTCAATTTTTGGGGAGTCAGAAGTTAGAGCAGATTTTGGACAGACTCTGCAAGTGGTTGGCGCCCTCCATGCCCATGGTTTTCAAGGCTCAACTGTATCAGACACTACATTAGAAAATAGCTTAAATAAGTGGCATTTAAGAGAGGACACGACTTCAAAAACATCATAAATAAACCACTTTAATGAGAGAGCCTTGAGGTAAAGAAAAGAAGAAAATTTCCCCTTTGTTATTTTCCTGTAAAAATGTTTAACCTCAATGTGGTCATGGAAAAACAATAAAGCAGCAAATCCAAACCAAGGGACATCCTACAAAATGGTGACATCAGAATTCTTTTTTTAAAACACTTTTTTTAAAGACTTTACTTATTTGCTTATTTATTTGAGAGAAAGAGAGAAAGCATGAGTAGCAGAGAGGCAGAGGGGGAGGGAGAGGGACAGACTCTGCTGAGTGCAGAGCCCAACACAAATTCTTAATAATGTAAAAAACAAGCTAGAAACCTCTTCCAGATTAAAAGAGATTAAAGAGGTAACTAAACACACTGTGTGTGATCATAGGTTAGATTAGTTAAAATAAACTAAAATAAATTAAGTAAATTTTTTAAAAAAATAAACAAGGGCGCCTCGGTGGTGCAGTCGGTTAAGCGTTTCTAACTCTTGGTTTTTGCTCAGGGTGGTGGGATTGAGCCCCGTGTGAGTGTGGAGTCTGCTTAAGATTCTCTCTCCCTCTCCATCTGCTTCGTGCTCTCACTCTCTCTCAAATTAATATATCTTTATAAAATAAAAAAGACAGCCATAAGGGACATTACTCGGACAACCGGAGAAACTTGAATATGGACTGTGTATTAAATAACAGTACTGCATCGATGATAAATGCCCCCAGTGTGGTAAATATGCTCTGGTTACATACTGGAGAAAGTCCGTGTGCTAGGAGATGCGTACTCATGCGGTGCAACACCATGATGTCTGCAACTTAATCTCAAATGGTCAGGGGGGAAGAATTATACATAGACATACACATATATAAACACACATACAGAGAGAAAGCAAGAGAAAGTAAAAGTAACATTTAAATAAAAGACTAAATCTAAGTAAAAGACTTATTCATTTCATTTTTGTTCATTTTTATTTCATTTTTATTATTCTTGCAGTGTTTCTAATGATTTGAAAGGTTTTTTTAAACACAAAGTTAGAAAGAAAAAAGATATTAAATTATGCTAAAAATATATGGGAAGCTTTTCATGTGAGAAGCTCACTCTTCCAAAAGGCCTTCTTTTGGGGTGCCTGGGTGGCTCAGTCGTTGAGCGTCTGCCTTCTGCTCAGGTCATGATCCCAGGGTCCTGGGATCGAGCCCCACATCGGGCTCCCTGCTCTGCGGGAAGCCTGCTTCTCCCTCTCCCACTCCCCCTGCTTGTGTTCCCTCTCCCGCTGTGTCTCTGTCAAACAAATAAACAAAATCTTAAAAAAAAAAAAAAGGCCTTCCTTTATATTAATAGGATCTTTTAAGCAAAGTACTGTTGTTCTTTCTAAAACCAACATTTTTTTTCCTTAGGAGTAAAGAACCAAAGATTAGATCCCTTTAATTGCCCAACTGTAATTTAGGGAACCAAAGACCAAGGCTGTTTCTTAATTCTTCCTGAATTAAGCAATGTTATGAATCACCAAGGGAAAAACGTAAAAATGGGTATCAGCTTAACAAATGCAGGCCATGAACTCAAAACAGTACACTCAAGGACACCTCAAAAGATCACTTTCAATCTTTGCTTTTTCTTTTCAGTTAGCTGGTGCAAAACCTCAGAATTTTAACAGAGAAAATAATGCAAAAAATAAAATCAGTATCAGGACTATCAAATGTTTGGTTTCTAAAAATGCCACCTCAAACACCATTTTCCCAGCAAACTTCCAATTAAGGGGAGTTTCTTAATGATTCTACTACTACAAAGTGATTCTACTGCAAAATGCCATCAGCCAGCCTTATCCAGGATATGAGTAAGGACAGGGACATACATTGTTTCATCCTTCACAACTCATAGGTGTTTTCCGGTTTTAATGGTAGGATTTGGTATCAGGAATATTCTTAAATTTTACAAATTCTCTAGCCCTTTTCCCACTTTTTTTCCACATGGAATTTCTGTAAGTTACAAGCTATGCTTCCTCTTTTTTTTGCTAAGCCACTAAGCGGACTGACAACACAACTCTAAAAGGGGAGTAACTGAGCAGTCTTCACACATTGGCAAAAAGTACACAGAACTGAAATAATATGCTCACTGTCACTGATAAATAGCTTGTCTGAGATCGAACCCAGGATAAAACTAAAGCTAAAGTCCTTGTGTACTGAGTTTTTTGTGTATACTGAAGAACAGTACAGTAAATACTTTGAGTAGTGCTCCCTCTGCCGGTCTTCTAACAGCATGGCATGAGTCCACCAAATGTGTATTTAAAACTGGTAGGACCAAAAGCTGACTCCAGAAGTGAAAAATCAAAGGGCTTTATTGTAGAAGCTCCTGTAGACTACATACCTGATGGTAGGCACTTTTCCCCCATTGAGGAATGAGTGGACATAAAACATAAAATTTTGGGGGGGTTGCCTAGATGTACTCCACAAAACTCTCTACCAGTATTTTTTAAGTTATTTATTTCATGAAAAAATAAAAGACATTTTTTCATTCTTTCAAATAACTGGACTTTTTGACCATACGGCTTTCTAACTTTTTTTCCTTAGGCATGCTATTTTACTTCAGAACTACATGGGATGCTGAAGAAAACATTTTAATTCAAACTGATCCCATACATTCTCTTCTGCACACTATTCCATATCTTGATCATTATGCTCAAAAAGTTTTACACATATGTTCAAAAACAGAAATTTGTGCACAGCAAAGCAAAAATTTCAACAACTATTAATTTAAAAAATATAATTTGCTGTGGTATTCCTGGCTTCCCATGTTTATCATTAAGTCAACCCAGCAATGTTGTCATAGTCATAGTGTTTTTTCTATCAATACATGTTTATATGATTTTAATAACTGATAATATGCCACTTACTTTTTTTTTATTTTATTAGACATGAAGCTAAACCACTGGCCTGACTACAAGACCTCTAGTTCTTAGATGATTTTTTGATCTGTTCTGTGAATAAGTGATCTTTCTTACATAGCTACAGGTATGCTCTGTAGTTCTAAAGTAAAACATAAGGGCAAAAGGTCTTTCATTTGAACTGGAATAAACTCTTAGGTTCACTTTTTAAAAACTATTCACAAGGAGGCACCTGGCTGGCTTAGTCAGTGGAGCATGCAACTTGATCTCAGGGTTATGGGTTCGAGCCCCACATTCGGTGTAGAGATTACTTAAAAATAAAAAGAACCTAAAAAATGAAAAATAAATAAATAAAAACTATTCACAAAACATAAATATTTATTTTCTTATTCATTACCTCTCCCAAATTGGGCCAACTTCAGAGAGATATATGAAGCAAATAACCAAAATAAGAAAGTCCCCTAAATGGGATGCTGTCTCCTAATTGGGACAAAAACAGTAGAAAAGGACCCTTAAAATACCCCCTTGAACAAGGAGCACGTACCTCTGGAAGAAAGCATTCTCTGCAGCAGTTAGAAGGCCCTTCAGGTATCCACCTTTGAAATGGTTAATTCTGCTACTGCAAGGGAGCTTCTTTGGTTTGAAGCAGAACCAGGGTTCTCCAGTGTAGAGATCTGTAAAGTTACACAGGGGCAGACTGCCAGGAAGACACACATTACACTCCGTGGTTTCAGAAATTCTTCCTGAACGGAAGAGACTCTTGAAATAGACCCTGTGTGGTTTCTCTTCTTGCAGGTGCTGAAGAACTCTGATCCCTTCGGTGGGGTGGACGAGAGATATGGACACTTTAACTTTGCCTGGCCAGAGCAAAGTAAAAAAGACCTTGTAAAACCCATTCTGGTAGTCTACCACTCTGCCCACAGCCCCTGCCTGCAGCTTAGGGGAGTGGATTCTGGCCTGCAGGTAGTCTCCACCATATTTCTTGGGCTTTCTTTGAAAATCCTGTACATGAACCAGCACTTCTAGTTGGCTTCCCACCTTGAAGAAGGCTGCAGAGTTCAAGATAACGAAGTAGCTGGAAGAAGGGTCAGTGCTCTTCAGAAAGGGGACTGGACCCACATCAGGCACCTGCCACTGCAAGGCAGCCAGCAAGGAGTCCTCCTCCATGCGCTCCCGGCTGGACAGAGTTTGATGCTCATAGCCACAGTAAGGATTCCGGCTAATTCCTGTCACCTGGGAGGAAACAAACTGTCCACTACTATCGATGAACGTGGCTAAAACAGTCTCATGGTCCAAGTACTGAAGAGAAAAACACAAAAACAGAAACCACAGACAGCTACAATAAATTTCCTTATATCAACCAAATATATATCTGCTTCAGTTTAACTTTAAAAAAACTACTTGGGATGACATTGGTTCAAAAATCAGAGTTCACTAGTTTTACAGGGTTATCTTTTTGTAATACAGTGAAATCAAGATGAGGAATAAGGTCAAAGAAAGATCCTCCACACTTCTATGAATTTTACCTCCAGGAGCTCAATCAGGTGCCCACAGTAAATATCAGTAGAAAAAACTCTCATGCTTCCAGCAAAATAAGAAAAGGAACCATTTGGAAATACAACAGAATATTCTGTTCTTAACAAGGTCTGCCCTCAAGAAAAACTATTGTACTAGAGCCCAATCTATTGGGGTTTTATCAGCACTTCACCAAACTGGGGTAAGAGACATACCCAGCTCCAGCCCATTCTAACCATCTATTCAACTTAAGGAGTGTAGGGTGAGGACTAAGAAGCACTTTTGAAGTTCACAGCCCGGTAGCAAGGGCTCACTAAAGGACTAAGACTTACCCATAGGACTATAAAATGCTTCACCTCCCCCACACCTCACAACTAAAAGTTTATTTATCAGAGTTCCTTTTACCCAGTATATCACATTCAGCTTTCAACAAAAAACTGTAAGACATACTAAAAGGTAAAAAACATAGCTTGAAAACACAAATCAAACATCAGAACCAGACTCAGATATGGCAGAGTTGTTGGAATAATCAGACCAGTAATTTAAAACAACTATGATTAATATGCTAAGGCCTCTAAGGGAAAAAGCAGACAATGTGAAATAACAGATGGGCACTGGAAGGAGAGATGGAAATTCCAAGAAAGAATGAAAAAGAAATGCCAAGAATAGAGAACCCAGAAATGGACCCTCAACTCTATGGTCAACTAATTTCAACAAAGCAGGAAAAAATGTCCAATGGAAAAAAGACGGTCTTGGGATGCCTGGGTGACTCAGTCAGATAAGCGTCTGCTTTCAGCTCGGGTCATGGTCCCAGGGTCCTGGAATCAAACCCCGCATCAGGCTCCCTGCTCCCCAGTGGGAAGTCTGCTTCTTCTTCTCCCTCTGCTGTTCCCCCTGCTTATGCTCTCTCTCTCTCTCTCTGTCAAATAAATAAATAAAATCTTTAAAAAATAAAAAAGTATCTTCAACAGATAGTATTGGGAAAACTGGACAGCCACATGCAGAAGAATGAAACTGGACCATTTTTTTATTCCATACACTAAAACAATCTCAAAATGGATGAAAGACCTAAATGTGAGACAGGAATCCATCAAAATCCTAGAGGAGAACACAAGCAGGAACCTCTTCTACCTCAGCCGCAGCAACTTCTTGCTAGACACATCTTCAAAGGCAAGGGAAACAAAAGCAAAAATGAACTATTAGGACTTCATCAAGATAAAAAGGTTTTGCATGGCAAAGGAAACAGTCGACAAAACTGTAAGACAACCTACTGAATGGGAGAAGATATTTGTACACATCATCAGATAAAGGGCTAGTATCCAGACTCTATAAAGAACTTATCAAACTCGGGGCACCTGGGTGGCTCAGTCGTTGGGCGTCTGCCTTCGGCTCGGGTCGTGGTCCCAGGGTCCTGGGATCCAGCCCTACATCAGGCTCCCTGCTCTGTGGGAAGCCTGCTTCTCCCTCTCCCACTCCCCCTGCTTGTGTTCCCTCTCTCACCATGTCTCTGTCAAATAAATAAATAAAATCTTTAAAAAAAAAACAACTTAGCAAATTCAACACCCAAAAAACAAATAATCCAGTCAAGAAATGGAAGAAGGTATGAACAGACGTTTCTCCAAAGAAGATATCCAAATGGCCAATAGACACATGAAAAAATGCTCAATATCACTCGGCATCAGGGAAATACAAATCAAAACCTCAATGAGATACCACCTCACACGGGTCAGAATGGCTAAAATTAACAAGACAGGAAACGACAGACGTTGGTGAGGATGCAGAGAAAAGGGAACCCTCCTGCACTGTTGGTGGGAATGCAAGCTGGTGCAACCACTCTGGAAAATAGTATGGCGGTCCCACAAAAAGTTGAAAATAGAGCTACCCCATGACCCAGCAATTGCACTACTAGGTATTTATCCAAAGGATACAAACATAGTGATCCAAAGGGGTACCGCACCCCAATGTTTATAGCAACAATGTCCACAATAGCCAAACTATGGAAAGAGCCCAGATGTCCACTGACAGATGAACAAATAAAGATGTGGTGTGTGTGTGTGTGTGTGTATATACACACACAATAGAATATTACTCAGCCATAAAAAAAAATGAAATCTCACTATTTCCAACGATGTGGATGGAACTAGAGGGTATTATGTTAAGTGAAATAAGCCAATCAGAGAAAGACAATTATATGATTTCATTCATATGTGTAACTTAAGAAACAACACAGAGGATCAAAGACAAAAGGAGGGAAAAATAAGGTAAGACAAAATCAGAGGAGACAAACAAGAGACTCTTAACTCTAGAAAACAAACAGGGTTGCTGGAGGGGAGGTGGGTGGGGGGATGGTGTAACTGGGTGATGGGCATTAAGGAAGGCACTTAATGTAATGAGCACTTGGTGTTATATGCAACTGATGAATCACTAAACTCTACCTCTGAAACTAATAATAAACTATATGTTAATTAATTGAATTTAGATAAAATAAAATGAAATTTAGGGGCGCCTGGGTGGCTCAGTCGTTAAGCGTCTGCCTTCGGCTCAGATCATGATCCAGGGTCCTGGGATGGAGCCCTGCTCAGCAGGAAGCCTGCTTCTCCCTCTTCCACTCCCCCTGCTTATGTTCCCTCTCGCTGTGTCTCCCTCTGTCAAATAAATAAAATCTTAAAAAAATAAATAAAATGAAATTTAAAAAGCATACCAAAAAAAAGAAAAAAGAAATGCCAAACAAAGCAGAGAGGATTTTTAGGGAGAGAAAATACTCTGTATAATACTATAATGATGGATATCATTACACATTTGTCTAAACCTATAGAATATACAACACCAATAGAGAACACTAAGGTACACTAGGGACCTCGGGTAATCATGGTATGTCAAGGTACACTTTTCCTTGGTCAAAAAATGTACCCATTCTGGTGAATAATGATAATAATGGGAGAGGCTAAGCATGTAAAGGGGCAAAGAGTATATGGGAAATCTCTGTAATCCTCCTATAGTGTAAGCCCTGACAGTTGTTTTTTCTTTTTTGTAATTCAAGTGCCTGACCTCAATTTTGATTGCCAAGACATGCACTTCAAAGAGGTATCCACTTCAAAGACAGCTATCTCGGAAAAACACAATGCCAGCGACACCTGGGTGGCTCAGTCAGTTAAGCAGCTGCCTTCAGCTCAGGCCATGATCTCAGGGTCCTGGGATCAAGCCTTGTGTCGGGCTCCCTGCTCAGCGGGGAGCCTGCTTCTCCCTCTCCCTCTGCCTGCTGTTCCCCCTGCTTGTGTGCTCTCTTGCTTGCTGCGAAGTAAATAAATAAGATCTTAAAAAAAAAAAACAAAAAAAAAAACCCACAATGCCAGCCACAAGACTAGATAAAGAGCCAGGCCACCACCTCCTGCAATAGGCTCCTTTGCTTTAGAGATCTTGGGAGATTTAGATAATTGACCGTTTCCTGTGCTTTAAATTCCCACTCTTATGTTTTAAATTCACCAATAAAGAGTGAACCTGTGAAACCCCAGGCCCCTGTCCTCAGATACCCCCAAAACAGCAGAACCCCAGGCCTACATTCTTTCTCTCTCTATCCGAGACCTCACTGTGTTGCCCCAGGTGTGCTGTACACCCTCCAGGACCTATGAATAATAAAACTTGTTGTTTTTCAAAGTTTCCTGCTTGCAGTCACAGTAAGAATCACAAGAGCCAATCCAGAAACAAGAGTGGTTATCAAGAGGCTGAGACCAGCACAAAACATCTCCTGTCAATTTTGCTTTAAGCCTACAAAAGACTCATTTTAGACCTAAAGACACCTGCAGATTGAAAGTAAGGGGGTGGAGAAACATGCAAATAGATGTCAAAAGAAAATTCAGTCTGAATAGCAATACTTACATTGGAAAAATTAGACTTTTTTGTTCTCGTACTGTTTGTTGTTGTTGAAGTAGGCTCCATGCCCAGAATAGAGCCCAATGTGGGGCTTGAACTCACAATCCTGAGATAGAGACCTGAGATCAAGAGTCATACACCAAACTGACTGAGCCACCCAAACAAACACCCCTGTTCTTGTTTTTCTCTGCTTTGGTATCAGGGTAATACTGGCCTCATGGAATGATTTTGAATGTGTTCCCTCTATTCCATTACTGGTAACATTTTGATAAATATTGTCATTATTTTTTTTAATGTTTGGTAGAATTCACCAATGAAACCATGAGGTCTTAGACTTTTTTTTTTAAATATTTTATTTATTTGATGGAGAGAGACACAGCGAGAGAGGGAACACAAGCTCGGAGAGGGAAAGAGGGAGAAGCAGGCTTCCCGCCGAGCAGGGAGCCCGATGCGGAGCTCGAACCCAGGACCCCGGGATCATGATCTGAGCCGAAGGCAGACGCTTAACGACTGAGCCACCCAGGCGCCCCATTCTGTGCTGGGAGATTTTTTGATTCCTAATTCAATTTTCATTCTTGTTATTGGTCTAAGAAGATTTTTCTACCTCTTGGATTCAAAATTCATGATACAATCTTGGTGACTTGTGTGTTTTTAGGAATTATCTGGGTTTTTTTTCTAAGTTATCTGATCTTTTAGTATATAATTGTTTATAGTAACCTGTTATCACACTATGTATTTCTGTGGCTATCTGTTGTATTGCTTTCTCTTCCATTTCTCATTTTGGTTTTTGAGTCTTTTTTTTCTTAATGTAGTTAAAGCATTGCCAATATTTTTTTTTAAAACTGGTCATTACTTTAAATGTTATGTGATTATTTATCCTGGTCTCTATTTTATTTGTTTCTGATTTTTCTTTG